GTCGATCTTGTCTCACCAACCTCCTAGTATCCATGGAAAGCTGGACGAAATCAATTGACATGGGCTTATCAGTCGACGCCGTGTACATCGACTTCAAAAAGGCTTTTGACAGTGTTCCACACAGACGACTTATATGTAAACCACGTCAAGTGGGTGTGAATGGAAATCTTCTGAAATGGCTAGCCGATTTTCTTACGGGCAGATCTCAGCGTGTGTGTATCGGGAACGCTAAATCGGAATGGGCATCCGTGCACAGTGGCGTTCCGCAGGGAAGCGTTCTGGGACCAATTCTGTTCCTTATATATGTGAACGACTGCCTGGACTGTCTGAACTGCGAGCGAGTTATGTTTGCCGACGATCTCAAATTGTGGCAATCAATAGAGAAGCCGGAAGATTCTGTACAATTCCAAGACAATTTAAATCGCTTGCAAAAATGGTGTGATGAGTGGTGTCTAAGCCTCAATCGTAACAAATGCCAACTTATCCGATTACGTTCGAGCAACAGGAAGCCGTTGAGATTTGAATCTCAGTACTTTATAGGAAGTCACCAACTCGAATCAGTCAACGAGTTAAGAGACCTCGGTGTGTGGATGACGTCAACTCTCAAACCATCATCTCATTGCGCTAAGGTATCAAAGAAAGCTATGGGTATTTTAGGCGCGATTAGAAGATCTTTCGTCAATTTTCATGAAGAACTTTTCGGCCGAGTATTTGGCGCATACGTTCGACCAATGTTGGAATATTGTGTCCAGGCATGGTGTCCCTGGACGAAAAAAGATTACACCCTACTGGAGAACGTACAACGTAGAGCGACCAGGCTAGTCGGCGGATTAAGTACCTTACCTTATGAGAGACGGCTGGAGAAGCTAAAAATATTTCCTCTCTCTTATAGACAGTACAGAGGGGACATGATCATGGCCTTCAGGATCGTCCGAGGGCTAGACAGTGCTCTTCAGTTTGACGACTTCTTCGAACTGGCGCGGACGACAAATCTCCGAGGGCACGCATACAAATTGAAGATGAAACACGCCAGACTCGATTTGTGGGCCAAATTCTTCTCTCACCGGCTGGTTGAGGGATGGAACAAACTGCCGAACTCCGTTGTCTTAGCGGAAAACGTCGAGACCTTCAAAAGAAGACTAGATAAACTTATGCTTGATGGTCAAACATTTACATGATATCAATGGCTGGTATAACTGCTATGTAAATATCTGCATGTTTTTTTCTACGTCTATCTGTAAATAGGGTTTTCCAAGGCTCTGCCTCTATCCCTCATATATACTGAATTATACTGAATCATAAGGTAGTGCATGGGGTCACTGTAAATTAGTGTGGAAGATTGTATATGACAGATTTTACAAAACTGGCTGTGCATAGTCATGCTGCACAAGCCGATTTCTGTCGAAAACTAGGCGAGCAAGTTTTCTTTTAAACACACAAACTGTGTCAGCCGTCACCATCTCGCTTGGAAGCGAGTTCCACGGTCTGACAACCCGCTGGCTGAATGAAAACTTTCGTCGGTCTAAATGCCTGCGCTCATTCCCGACTTTGAATGCATGGCCGCGTAGCTGGTTTGCACGGGCGAACTCAAAGAAATCCTCTGCTCTTAATGAGCAACCCTGGCCGCGAACAATCCGGAACGTCCAGAGTAGACTGCAGTTTATTTGTCTATAAGAGAGAGGGAATAGGCCAAGCAAATTTAGCCTCTCCTGCTAAGATAAATGCTTTAGACCGTCGACCATCTTTGTCGCTCTGCGTTGCACCTGTTCGAGTAAGTTGATATCCTTCCTCATCCATGGTGAAGCTGCTGGCATTCCATACTCTAGATGGGGTCTTACAAAGACACCAAAGAGTCTTCCGAAGAGTTCGGGAGGAAATATTTTAAATGCACGTCTGATCCAGTGTAGAGTACTAGTTGCCTTCTGGACCATCTTTCTGCAGTGTTCTGATGGCGATAGATTTGTGGTCTTCCATACACCCAGATCTTTGTGTCTTTCCACAGTTTCTAACCTCGTCCCGTCAATATAGTACTGGTGTTTGGGAGAGACATTGCGGCCGTTGTTCAGGTGCAAGACCACGCATTTGGACACGTTAAACTTCAAAAGCCATCTGTTCGACCAAGCACACAATTTATTGATGTTCGACTGCAACTTCTCTGCGTCATCATCACACTTGACTTCACTCCATATTTTTATGTCATATTCCATATTTTTAGTGCGCGTTTCCGTACGTTGGCAACGTTTTGATCCTTCTTCTGTAACGAAAAACTTTTTTGTCTGTAATGCCCCGCAGAGCACGTGCTAAAAGGCGAAAGCTTGCGGCCTCCCCACCGTCTCTGGGTGCTAAAATCGTGACTGAAGACATGGCAGACGCCAGCGTATGTTCTTCGCCGTCTGCAGATCTGATTAAATTACAAAGCCCTTTAGTACATGTAGAACCTCTCGACCCTTCAGTCGTCCAAAAATACGCCTCTGCTAGTCGTAGCAGGCCATCAGCCGGCGAAATAATCGATCAGCTGATTTATGGAGACATAAACAGCATTTCTGAAAAAGTGCTTGAACAAGCTTTTAAACTTATTGGGGTAATAAGTTCGGAAACTGAGGAACGAATTAAACGCAATCATAATTTCGTACTGCGAAACATTCCGAGCCACTTATCTGCTATGGAGGGAGCGCATTTGTTCCTACAAAGTTGTGGCTTGAGTTTTAGTGTCGTACAAGCTAAGCGACTTCGCTCGCTTAGTCGTAATGCGCCGATACTAGTTACCCTTTTCTCCATGATAGAAGTCGATTTTATCTTGTCGAGTAGGGAGATGACTAGAGACTTCTGCCGTTAATGGCGCTGCTCCGTTTCGCCAGACCTCACACCCCTGCAGCGAAGACTGAATAAACTAAAATCGGCAAAAACCAACACCGAGATAATGACACCTACTGTCAGTCTGAATATGTCCTCTACAACACCACCTGCGGCATCTGCAAGTCACGGCATAGTCAATTCCGTAGGGAGTTCGATTACTTTTAATGCTGACCTCTTTGAACACACCACCACGCCTGGTATAAACACGCCTCTATCGACTCCCTCAGCAAACCCTAGTAAGCCTAAGCATGTGTCTAAGTCAAAGGCAAATCCAATTGCTGTCTCAGCCACTCGGACACCCCAATAAATCCAGCACCATTATAAAATGTTTTCCTCCACAATCGGCTAACAGTGCCTCAAATACCCCGACTCAAAACGTAGCGTGTTCGCAACTGCCCCCCAGCCCTCATAGATAGATAGATAGATAATTTTTATTAAAGACCCGTCGGGGTCCCATCAAAGCAAGTTAATATAAATTTGCTTGCGAGTTTTAGACGAGGTAGGCCGAATCTTTACAAAATGCAATTCCTAGTTTCTGAATTAGAAGTCCATTGAGAAACATGATGATTGAGGGGTGAAAAAAACTACATACAAAAAGTTAAAAATGACTGGATTAATTTTACAGGAGAAAAAACCCCTCTTTAAAAATGATAACAGAAAAAAGCGAGCAGGACTGGCCTGTAGGTGGCGGTATATAACGGAATGTTTTCGGTCATCGTCAGGGTATCAATAAATGTCCGCCTTGATGGGTACGAATGTGCGTCAGACAGGACTGGCTTGCAAATGGCATTGTATACGGGATTCACAATTGAGATCGTCTGGGCCGGATTGGTACGCCGCGTCAAAGAGGCCAGACGAGAGGAACCGAGATGCGATCGGCCACAGCACGCTTCGAGCTCAGCCGAGCAGTGAGGAAGGGAGGTACGACCGAACTACTTGTAAACAGTGAAGACTGAGGGTTCCCCCGTGAGTGTCGACAGACCGCATGAGGTCGGAATGCGGGAGATGACATCAAAAACCGCGAAAATTGTCGCTTTGGGAGGGGGGGGGAAGGATAGCGATGGATTTAGAAACCAATTAAAAACAGGGTTTATAATGATATAATTAAGAGTTACCACTTAATCTACCACTAAATCCCAGGAGGACCCTTCTCGAAGTCAAGAATCTGAGTGTTCGGGAATGAGACCGTTAACAGTGCCTTTATGCTTTCCGGTGTAAAATGGTTGCGTAATTTCGACTTGAATATCAGTAACCTAGGCGATAATCTAATTTCAGGCGGAAGATTATTCCAAAGGAAGGCATATTTGGAAGCAAAGAAGAGGGAGCGCTTAGATGTAGTACAAAGAGGCGGCGGAATCACCATGCAGGAGTTGCGCGTGGCATAAGACCGATCTCTCGGAGTGAGAGTGTCAATGAGCGATAGACTGGAGCTAGAGTTGATGCGAAAAAGGAGGCAAAGGTCAGCTTCGAGTCTTCTAACCCACAAAAACTTCATGTTCGCCAGCTGACATCTCTGAGTATAAGAAATACTGGACGAAGCTTGAGAGAACAGTTTTCGAGTGAAAACCCTCTGAACATTTTCGATTTTATTACGGTCGCATGCTCTCATTAAACCGAAGAAAGGACAGCAATATTCGAGGAATGGAAGAACAAACATTTGATAAAGTCTTAGCTTCATTTCCGGAAGGAAAAAATTATGCGATGTGAATCCACATATCTGCGCGGCTTTGGCAGAGATTCTATCTGCATGAGGTGATAAAGCAAGTTTATTTGTATAACTTAGACCTAGGTCCTTTATGATGAGGCATTCTGAGAATGGGTTATTCTGAAAAATTATGGGACCAGGAAGTTTGGTAGGACCAAAAGACATGAAACTACACTTGGATGATGAAAAATCCATCTGCCATGTCGAACCCCATTTGCTTAAGCGTAGTAAATCGGCATTAATTTTTTCAACACAAACATTTGCGGTGTCCTTAGAGTATGAGTAAACACACTTGAGATCATCGGCATAAGTAAAAGTTTGCAAATTTCCGAGTTCAGTCGAAATATCATTGATGTACAGAAGGAAGAGTAGCGGACCCAGGACCGTGCCTTGAAGTACGCCACTCGTGATCGAGTGAGGTGTCGAGTAGCTATTACCGACCATGACTTTCTGATATCGGTTGGACAGATAGGACCTAATGAAGTCTAGTAGAGGCGGCCGGATGCCGAGGGCTTCCAATTTTACTAAAAGACGTCTATGGGGCACCTTGTCAAAGGCTTTGCTAAGATCAAAGTAAATAATAACCACTGACTGCCGCTCATTACGAAGAGAAGTGATTAGATTATGAAAAGCCAAGTGGCATGTTTCGCAGGATCGTTCAGGTAAAAACCCATGCTGACTAGAGCTCAGAAGCCGATTAGCTAGACAGATGTCAAGAATTTCATTGAAAATAATCCTTTCAAGAAGTTTTGCTAGAGACGGCGTTTTGTGCACGCCCCGATAGTTATTAACATCTGACCGAGATCCTGACTTGAAAACGGGAATGATAATTGACGTTTTCCATGTTTCAGGAAAGAATCTTTTTGAAATATAAACAGAGAATAAATGACTAAGCAATATGGGAAGGTCCGACGTTTGTTTAATAATCGAATTCGGAATCCCGTCCGTTCCTGAGCAGTGTGAGTATTTCAAACGGCTTATGTGTTTTTAATGAGATCTGAGGAGACATCAATTGTACTAAGTGTCCTATCTGAAAGTGATCGAAGGAAAGGGACCGGATCGAACTCGGTAGCAAGGTGTTTTGCAAAGAAAGCACTAAACAACTCCGCCTTGTCAGTGTCATCGGTGAGGAATACTTTGTTATCATTTAGCATGGGTGGAAGTTCATGACCACGCTTAGAGTAGGACCGATGACGGAAGATGCTAGCGACGGATTTGCCAGGGTTCGAACCACTGAGAGCAATTGATTCTCTCTGCCTGTCGCGCGCTTGGCGCATCCTTGAGGCCATCTCAAAAATCTCTGTGATTCTAAGATGAACAGATAAGGAACTAGCGGATGGGTCACGCAGTTGTCGCCTTAACTTTTTTAGTCTGTTCTGAAGAAAATGAGGAACAAGGGAATCTGAAGTATTAGGCTTGAGATATCTACGTGGCACAAACTCTAGAATGTCCTTAAAAACATTGGACATGACTTCACGAAGAATGGTTAGATCGCTACAAGTGAGGAAGCCACACCAATCCAAGGATCTCATATAGTTATTTATTAAGTCGCTATCTACGCAGTCGTAGTTCATAAAAGTCTGAACGGCGCTTGTCTTTTTTGAAAAGGCAAGCGGTAGGCAACAATGAATTAATACGTGGTCACTGTCAAAGAGGTCCTTTTTTAAAGCAACAGAAAGAGGAGCAATGTCATTGGTAAAGATTAGATCTAAAATGTGATTATCTCTTGTTGGAGAGCGCACCAGTTGGGACCAGTTAGAAAAATTGACAATATCTTGAAAGGGCTGGAATCTGGGTGGGCAGCTATTGGAAACCCAGTCTATTTCAGGAAGGTTTGAATCCCCAGTGATTATTTTAACATCGAAAGCAGCTTCCGAAATTAATTTAAAGATTTCACAAAGTTGAGAATCATCACTGGCTAAAGAATTTGGGGGATTGTAGATACAGCTAATAATTGCCTTTATTTGCGGCGAGAGAATAACAGATGCAAAGCAGAAGTTTCCCGTGAATGAGGAAACATCCAAGTAATAGGGAGAGTGCTTTAGGTAGGATTTAAGATAAAGAAGACAACCACCCCCACGCCTAGTCGTGCGGTCTTGGCGGTAAAAATCGAAGTCATCTATGAGGAGGGCAGAGTCAGGACTTAGAGAATGTGTCCAAGATTCTGTTACACATATAATATCAGGCGTCATTTCCAGCGCAATGGCTCTGATTTGGGCCATCTTGTTTATGACAGACCTGGCATTCAATAATATAATATCTAATGTGTTTCGAACGGCAATGCTATTTTCGACGGTATTTTAAAAAAAATTTGGAGGCGGATATGTAAGCTGCGAATTTATGACACTTGGAGAATAAATACCAGTTAATTTGGAGTTATTGACGTACGGGGAGTCAGCAAGAGAAGGCTGAGTATGAGACCTAAAGGAGGTGGGGATATAGTTTTCAAACACTGGAATGCTAGGGGAGTTAGAACATGGATAGACTTGTTGGTAGTTAAATAATGGAGGAAGGGGAGGAGGAGGAGGGAGGCTAGAAGGAAAGTAGGGGCTAATGGGTGCGGGTAGGCCACTAAAAGAATGAAATAGTGGGAAACCAGGTGTAGATTGGAAGTCAAAGGAGATAGGTTGACGTACCTGAGAGCAATTGGCCTTAAGTGGTGGGAAGCCTGAACTAGGTTGGGGCATGAATGATTTAGAGCAATTCATGTATGAATTATTTGCTGGATATATAGTAGGGCTTTGACAAGTAACCGGTACGCAGGACAGAGAATTATTCGAGGATATAATTGGAAATGCGGGGTTTGTAGACGTGCTGGGCTGAACAGACTTGTTAGATCTAAGAAAAGGCGTCGTACCCCTAAACGGAACTGTACTACCTATCTTTTGGGTCGGAGTCTGATTCAATTTTCGAGTCTCACCGTTCTGACGCCAAGCCACAGGTGACTTAGCTGTAGAACTTACAGCACCCAGTTAGGCCGAATATGCCGAGTTTCCCACCGTTTAATAGACCTCTTGTTCCAATGGAAACAATGCGTCCCCCACCCCCTAACTTGTTTTCTCCACGGCAGTTTTACCAATTTATTCCTCATGATAATGTCCATACTGAATCAGTTAGTTCATCCGATCCTCAGTTTCGTCCCGGCGGGAATACGTTGCAGTATCTGCCCCGCGGATTTCCAGCTGAAAATAAGTTAGCTAACAATAGTTACCAGTTTACCTGCCCGTCATTCCCTCCCCCAAGTCCTACCCCTTTTTATCCACGTCAGAATTTTTCGATGCCACAAAATTTTTTGCAGAACCGGATGATTGCATCCGGACCGTTTGCTCCGTGGGCGACCCAGAACTGGACGATGTAGCCCACCTCCCTCCAACACTAACAGCCTTTCCCTTCAAACTTTTTATTTTAAATGCCAGATCCTTGCTTAATAAGATGCCTTTGCTTCAGACTCAGGTGTTCGTCCACTGTCCTGATATTGTTTAAGAAACTGAGACGTGGGCATCAGCCTCAGTAGCTGACTCCGAACTCTCTCTTCTAGGCTACAATTGCATTCGAAATGATCGCCAAGATAGCCGTGGTGGGGGCAGCTGCGTCTACGTTAAGCAAACACTTACATTTTTGTCGTTGGACCTCCCGCACTTTTCCGCAGTAGAAGGCAGCTGCTGGCTCCAGGTAGCACTTAAAAAATAAGTTCTCCCTACTCATTGGCTGCGTCTATCGCCCTCCCAACGCCAATGACAATTTTGATCGTTTACTCTCATAGGCATTTCATGCTGCGGCCGACTTAAGCTTTAAGTATCAACTGGTTGCGGGTGACTTTAATCTCCCTGAAGTCCGCTGGTCTCCGCCTTCAGGCCCCAGAAGGTTCGATGACTTTCTTGAGGCTGTGGATGTCGGGATGTGGACTCAGGCTGTTGATTTTCCCACCCGAGGCTCAAGTATACTTGACTTAATTTTCTGTAGAGGCTGCTTGCCATCGTCAGTGTCATCCCTAGGCCCACTCGGGGGCTCAGACCATGACATAGTTGTTTCAACGTTGGAATTCGAGGCTGACGAAATGTCGTCCCAAAAGTATAACTTTTTCCGCGATTTCCGATCAACTCGCTCAACCGAATTATTAACACACCTTAATTCCTACGACTGGACTGAGTTCTTCCTTAGTTCAGATGTAAATGTTTGCACTGCAAAACTGTATGAAATTTTGGATCCGCTTATTTCTCGTTTTGTCCCCCGTAAGAAAATTATTAATGTTGGGGATGAGATTTTCCTACCTTTACCCTTTCGTCGCACGTACTGTTAAATATTGTCGGTTCTTTTCTGTAAATGCAATTGCTATTTGGAATAAACTACCCATGAGTATGAAAACTCTGCAAAATTATCCTTTATTTAAGAGAACTATTACTCGATTTTTGCATTCAGAAAAGCTCCCACAAATTTTGGGTGCTGAATCTACTGATCGACTATACCGTAGCGATGGCGTTTGTGGTCTCTGAACACTATGGCCGGTCTCACCAGTTGTTCCTCAACGCCTCTACTTTGACTATCCCCAACTTCATGAAAGGAATTTGACGTCCGATAATCTCCGATACCGTGAAACCTCCCCCCTTCTTGACGGTCGATATTCTCCCACCGCCGGCAGTTTTTCCTCCTGAGCCCTCCAAACCACAAAAACCACCATCAACTATATTTTTATCCCTTAAGCTCAGGAGTTTGTTTCACTGCTGGTCGGATTTGTGTTTAATCGCTTCCCTTGACAATGCCTGTAAACTGGCATTAAATAAAAATTTATTTATTTATTTATTTATATTTATTCTCAAAACTTTCGATGTGTCCATAAAACGCCTTCTCTCGCTAAAAACTTTGAAAAAATTATCGCCTTAAAAATTACCAACTTTTGCATAGCCAATCAATTTATAAGCCCTTCTCTGCATAATTTTTTACCAGATCGCTCTAGTGAAACATATCATTTAGTGGTTCTCAATTCAATTCAATTCAATTATTTTTATTAATTACCCGTCGGGGTCCCATCAAAGCAAGTAAAAATAAATTTACATGCAAATTTTAGACGATATAGGCAAAATCTGCACAAAGTGCAATGCATAGTTTTTGAGATTTGAAGTCCGTTAAGCAAAATGAAAATGAAAAAAAAATGAAAAAAACGAGGGGTGAAAAAAAACTCCAAAGCAAAATTTAAAAATGATTGTAGTAATTTAACAGGAGAAAAAAAACCCTCAGAAAAATAGCATCAGAAAAATTAGGTAGGACTGGCCTGCATGTGGCGGTACAAAATGGAATATAGTCCGACATCAACATGGCCGAAATAAATGTCAGCTGTATATGGCACTGCGTAACGGATTTCATAAAATGGTACGTAGGCGAGTCGGTCAGGACTGGCCTGTATCGCCTTGAATAAGAAAAATAAGTGCCGAAATTGAAAACTAGTCTCAAGCCGATAGGAACCCAGATGCGGTCAGTTTCATTCAACCGAGTCCATCCGAGCATGGGGGGAGATGCGACCAGACTACTAGTATATGGCGAATATAGAAGGCTTTGTCAAGACCGCCGATGGAGCGCATTCTGTAAGGTCACGATGACAACCAGTCTCGAGGCGATAGGAACCCAGATGCGGTCGGTTACATTCATCCGAGTCCAACCGAGGATGGGGGAAGGGAGATGCAACCAAACTACTAGTATATGGCGAATACAGAAGGTTTCGTCAAGAGCGTCGATGGCGCGCATTCTGTGAGGGCACGATGCATGAACTAAAAAATTGGAATAATTAACATTTCTGGTGAGGGATCTTAGGTAGCGAGACTACTCATAAAGGAAGGAAACGTGAACAGATACGGAAAATTCTTAATCTACTTACCTCTCTACGTAGTAACTATCTATCTGTTGTCGTCATTTATTTTGATCTTAGTAACGCCTTTGATAAAGTGCCACATAAAAGACTCTTAGTTAAATTGGAAGCTATGGGAATTCGCAGCACAGTAATAGACTTTATCAAGTCATATCTTTCTAATCGTAACCAAAAGGTTTTGATGGGATATTCACTTTCCACTGAAAACCCTAGTAAAAGTGGTGTCCTACGAGGCGCCGTTTTAGGTCCTGTTTTGTTCTTGCATTACATAAATCATATCTCGGCAGCAGTTAGACATTCTCAATCTTCACAACACGTCCTTTATTTTACCTCCTCCAGCTTCCTCCACCTGTAAGTGCTCTCTTTTTTTCGCTTTCAGATATACTTTCCTCTGGAAAAACCTTCCAATAAATATAAGATCTTCAGATAATCTAAATAACTTTAGGAGAAGGTTACACCTTTATATGAATACTGACTCGATTAAACTTTTATATTCCTCATCCTTCCCGGACAAATTTCTCTATGACACCGAGAAAGGGGCGCCCGGAATTTAGGACTCCGGCATTAACTTTCCGTATCTTCTCACATTTCCTTCTTTAGTGAGTCGTATCGCTTCCTAAGATCCCTCACCAGAAATGTCAATTTTTCGCTTTTTCAATTCATGCATCGTGCCTTCACAAAATACGACCCATCGACGCTCTTGTCGAAGCCTTCTGTATTCGCCATATACTAGTAGTCTGGTCGCATCTCCCCGCCCCCTCCTCGGCAGGACTCGGCTAAATGTAACCGATCTCATCTGGGTTCCTTTCGCCTCGAGACTGGTTTTCTTTTCGACACTTTTACATGAATATTCTCATCCGGCATATGAATTCTGCCTTGATGACGCCCGTTCCAAAGCTTTTAGTCAAGACCACATACAGGCCAGTTCTGTCTGACCCCCCCACTTACCCCTTCATAAAATCTGTTATTCAACGCCATATACAGTCCGGTCCTGTCTGCTTTTTATAAAGTAAGGAGCGAACTTTTTTTCTCCTTAATTTTAATACAGCTATACTCATTTTGTTTATGTTGGGAGTTTTTTTCACTGCTCGCTCAACATTCTTCGTAACATACAACTTATGAAATAACTTTGAATCACGTATTGTAAAAACTCTGTATACGTCATCTGAAATTCCAAAAGTATTGTGGAAATTATTCTTACTTGCTATGATAGGACCCCGACGGGTCTTGAATAAAAATTATCATTATTTTACAATGTTTAATATGTTTCAAAAAGCAAGTCTTATATCGAGGACATTTAGAAGAAAAAAATTGGATGCGGCTATGTAAACTGTGAATTAATGATGCTTGGAGAATAAATACCAGTTAGTCTAGAGTTATTGATGTGCGGTTTGTCAGCGAGAGAAGGCTTCAAATGAGCCTTAAAGGATGTCGGGATAATGTTTTTGAGCATTGGAATGTTCGTGAGTTAGAACAAAGATAGGCCTGTTGGTAGTTAAATTGTGAAGAGGAGGAGGAATGTGCCTTGAAGGAAGGAAGAGGCTGGTGTGGGAGAGTAGGCAGCTATATTTGGGAAACAAGATCTTGGTCAAAATTCAAAGGAGTTAGGTTGACATATCTGATAGCAATTGGCCTTAAGTGGTTGGAAGCCTGAAATAGGCTGACGGATAAATGACTTCGGGCAATTCACGTATGAATTATTTGCCGGATACATAGTAGGGCTTTGGCAAGTAACCGGTACGCAGGATAGAGAATTATTTGGGGATATAGTCGGAGCTGCGGTGTTTATAGACGTGCTGAGCCGTAAAGGCTTGGTAGATCTAAGAGAATGCGGCGTACCCCTAAATGGAACTGTACTACCTTTCTTTTGGGTCGGGGTTTGCTTTAGTTCCGTGGACATCTGTTGAGTTCAGGTTTTTTAGACCTAGCATATTGTTAATATCGATTTATTTTTGCGTGTTGTTTGAAGTCTTTTGATGGTATTTATGAGGATTTTTAGGCCACAGGAGTGTATACGTTGCTTGATTTTTTTGCTATTTTTTAACCGTGTGGGGTATATTGAGGCCGACTATATTACATCCGCGTTTTTTATCCGTGACTTAAGTCAATATATTAGGTTAAATATATGTAGGTTAACAGACAATGACTTCAAAAACCATGTTGATGACGACACATATTCTATGCGGTGTGAAATAAAAAATGCCACCAAAAGGTTGCCAACAACGCATACCTTTGCAGAATGTCGTCTTTGCGAATGCGGGAATGAAACTTGAGAACATTGAGCTTTACTTGTTAATGGTAAAATGGGAGAACAATCATCCGCACGAGCGGTAGGTGCACGCAGTTCGTTGGTTGGTGTAACAGCGCTGTTCTGTCCAGATAAGCGATATTCTGCAAGCGAATATGCACCTAGTCCTTCTATAAATGGCTCCGCAAAATCCGCCATTATAACGTCCTCAGGAAGATCGTTCCAGATACTGACGACTCGCTGTGAAATTTCCTCGCCAGAAGTGCTGTCGAGTCTCAGTCGGCTCTATCTGTTGGCTGCAGGTGCGCTATACTATACAACGGCAAGTTGAAATATAGAAATCCGTCAAAGATAAATGAGATATGACCTTAGGATGAGGCTGCTGCTTATTCAGGACGAGCTTTTTATGGCTTATTAATCTTTGAGGAAACTACATGTAGACAGAACGCTTTCAATCAAGATTCAGACATGGTGATTATGGCCTTTACTTACCAATATATTAGGCCCTGATTCAGCTCCGACGGAGACAAGGTTTGTTTTTCGAGCTAGGATTTCTAGGTCTTTTGATATGCCTTGCAATTGATAGTTTGTTCAATTCAATACACCAACTATCGCCTATTACAACTGCTAACAAACTTCCGGAGGACGGAAGCGGCGAAGTTCAGTTATCTGACGTGTGCGGTCCTTAAAAGTTTGCCAACTAGCAGTTGTTTACGCTTTTGTAAGGGATATGTGTCCATGCCTTTATGATATCTAGGTATACTTAATGGGCTCTTGATCATTTCAGTAAACACATGCCCAGGATCCTTCGCCATGCCAAGTTTTTATTAGGTGTGCAACTGTTCATGCAACGCTCAATATATTGATGGTATGTATGCTCACTGAGTTTTAAAAAACGTACTTCAAAGATCCGGAATATTTGTGTATGGTCGGCAGCTCAGTAATTAGCACTGTCCTTGGGTCGACATGGTGTTAGGCGTGTCTGGCAGTCTTTGGTTTGTCGGTTGCGTCTCCTGAAGGTCACTGACTTTCCATGCGGGTAAATGCCTAGCGTTTCACTCGTTAGTACCATCCATATTATGTTTACGAGACAGTTTTGGCTTACTCTATGTGTATTTCCTTATATCTTGCGCACATGAGGCTACTTTGCCGGTGCAGCAGTTCTGAGAAAATAACTAGCGCGTGCGCGCTGATTATATTTTAGTCGCCCAGGCCTAGCCTGATCGCGGGCTCGTCTTCCGATAGCAAATGCCTGGCCCTGGGCGCCTAAATGCTATCAGGGATGACCGCGGCCATCGCGAATACGAGTGATCGTTTCGTGTTGTGGCAGAAAGATAGCTCTGTGACGCCTTCTGCCTGCAGGCTCTTACTGTCCTCTACCCGGGTAGAGGCCTAAGTTACAGGACATCATATCCGGTTTAACACAAAGGTTCAAACCTTCTGTTGCCTTAGACCAAGTGTTTGAGTTAAACTGTCTGACAACGTCGAATAAGCCAGAAATAGTTATTCCGGTCACGTCACGGTCGAAGACACTTGCTGACAGTCGTTCGCACATCTTTGTACAGCATTCCTTGAACTGACTATACAGGCGACGATAGCGCTCGTGATCTGACTCAGCAACTACTGTGCCGCCAAGTGAACAAGATAATCCTTTCAGTTGCTTATCATTGTCGGCCTTCCGCGTTCATTGTCCGTATTTTTTCGGTTGACATAATTTTGTGTTGTCTAGGATACCTTCACTAATTCTTGTAGCACGGATGAAAGGCAAAGTTATAGGCATGTGCAAGCAGATGCCAGATCTGATCATTTGCCGTTATCGCTTTATAGACCAGACAGTACCAGACACCCAGATACGGAATCACAGGTCGACTATACCAGAGCCAGTCTGATCTTGCAACTGTCATTATGATAACAAATGCAAGCGTTTATTAAACCCGTGGCTTTGACATTCAAGAGCAAGACTGTTTTTGATTGTTGTTACACCAACGACAGTCCGAAGTAACCATCAGGTCAATCCTTTGAAGAGTTCTGGGGTTTGTCCCGAACATTCTAATCGCATGCAAATATAAATCGATCATAACCAAGGGCTTTGTTGACCAGTTGTTATAGTTGAGAGTAGGTGATCGGTCGCCATTGCCGGAAGTAGCTGTTGACATGTAGACAGAAAGGTCAAGTAGAGTAGCATGGGTTCTTCTCCCTCATGCTCGCATTAGCTGCTCCCATACATGTATTACCGTGCCCACAGGTTTCGGGGGACGATCGATACGCCTTGTCTATCAGACGGATCCAGTAGCAGCCGCGATAAAGGGAAAAGTTAGAACTGACTACAGAGATCTTGATTCTCCGGAGGCTTGTGGCTCGGATGCGGAGCTTGTAAAGACATTAAACATCCATCTTCTATTACTGCACATTTGGGTAGTCAGTCTTTGGTCAACAGAGGCGATAAACAGTTGCGCATTTAAGTATGGAACGCCAAGTATTTGTTTTCTATTCATCCGCACCGGGAAGACGGGTTGCCCGTTAGCCCAGCTGCTTGCTACCCGGCGCGTCCACGGGTGGTGGATAGTGGGACGTCCTTCAGTGAAGGTCAGCCGCCAAATAAGCAGACCCAGGTCTGACGAATAAGCAGTCGCGGACCAGCAGCGAAATTGCCACCAGGGCGCGGTGAGCTAAGGTCTGGCACGCTGAAGGCCTTATAAAAAGCCGCAAAGCCCAATTACGGCATTGTGACATGGCGACCGTAAACTGCCATTAAATAAGTTTGCCACCGCTGCCTTGAGGTTACGTTTTTAAGTCAAAGCGCTAGAGGAGACAACCTCGAACAAAAAAATCCGAGCGGCTGTTGAGGGCCCGCCTGTATTGGAATTTCACAAAAAACCTCATGAAATATGCCACATCACAGTATTACGACCTATGCTACGGCGTCCGCGGGAACCGACGCGCACCGCAACCCTGGTCCAGTGGTGGGGGCGAATAGTATGCGAGCTGGACTACTTGATCGGGGACGGACTCTTGGTATTGGGTTCTGGAATATGCGAACATTCTTGGACTCCGGTACCCAAAGCCTGACCGCGCGCAACCATGATCAGTACAACATGGATATCTGCTGTCTGTCTGAAGTTCGACTTCCTGACTCCGGCCCTCCGCGAAGTAAAGGTCCCTCGAGTCGAATAAAATTTTACCTTGGACCACAGCGGCCCGTGCGACTCTTCTGGTTGACACAGTGTGGCGATCGCCCTATCGCAACAAGCGGACTCCGCGCTACTTGCTTGGGAATCAGTCAATGACCGGATAGTCAACATGCGACTGAAGGATCACTCCACGAACATGTCAATCGTCTCTGTGTACGCATCAGCTTCGGCTGCTGAACAGCCCGATAAACAGGCGTTTTACTCGCAGTTGCAAGCGTTAGTTGAAAGACTGCCTCGCCGTGATCTGAAAATTGTTGCTGGCGATTGGAATGATCGAACTGGACCTGTCATCTTCTCTGCCGCGTTGGGCTTGGTTCCCGCTGTGAACATGGCGAGAGATTGCTGAACTTCGCTGATTGAGACCGACTGCTTGTTACCAACACATGTTTCCAGCATCGCAATAAACATCTGCCGACCTGGTATTCAAACGACGGCCATACGGCCAGTCAGATTGATTACATACTAGTCAGCCCAAGGTTCCGCAGCTGGTTTTACGATAGCAGATCGATGCATGGTGCCGTGACTGGTAACGCCCATGGGTTGGACCATGTCCTCGTTCGTACACGCTTGAAAGTTCATCTCTCATACGCGCCAAAAATGTCACTTTCTAGACCCCTCGATGTAGCAAAAATCCGGCAAACTAGCGCTGCTGGGGCCCGTAGCAGAGAAATCCGCCCCTGTTTTACAACCCGAGCCGACGGAGAAGGCAGTAACCGGTGGTCGTCAGTAAAAAGGTCAGTTTATGGGGCAGCTGAGAAAATCCTTGGATACACCCAGCGACGCCGCAGTGACTGAATCAGCGGAAGAACCGTGCGTTTGTCTGCTCAGACGGCTCGAGCTAGGGCCCCTAACGATGACTGCTTTCGCCAACTTCGAAAGATGACGGCAAAATCGGCCAGGGATGACCGGAAGCAATATTTCGCTGAAATGGCGACCTCCATGGAACAGCCCTCGAACTCTGGTGACACTCGAAAACTCTACCATCTTATCCGCCAAGTTAGCAGTAAATCCTCTACACTGAGTGACTGTTCGTGACGTGAATGGCGGCTTTATTGCTGACAACTCGGCCAAAGTCGAACTCTGGTGTGAGCACTTCGAGCACCATCTCAACTTCGATACCCAACCCACCACGCCCTTGTTCTCCTCTTCAGTGGAGTTTCTTCCCTCTCCCACCTATGTTGTACCGTGCGACCCCCGCCCCTCTGACGGAGAAGTCGTCGTTGCCATACGAAAGATACGCAACAAAAAGGCACCTGGAAAGAACGGTATACCCGCAGAGATCTACAAGTCTTGTGTCGACACTCTTGCGCCATGGCTACATGGGGTGATTGAACGACCGTGGAGATACGAGGATGTTCCTGATGACTGAGGCTTAGGCATCCTTGTACCTATCCTCAAAAGGGGAGATAAGGCAAGATGCGAGAACTTCCGCGGCATAAGCCTCATCAACGTTGCTGCGAAGACCTTCGCTATCAGATTTGGTGGATTCCAGACGTTGCAGTAGGTTGGGTGGGTAACTTGACCCAAATGTGATTAAACTCGCGTCGTCCGGCCGGCCTCGTAGCTCAGGTGGTTAGAGCGTTGGCTGCGCTAAAGCCTTCCCCTTACTGCGTGGGTTCGAATCCCACCGAGGCGCCGAGTTTTTCACAGTTGGGTCAATATGAATTATTCAAAATCTGCCAAAATATCAATGAGCTTCGCTATTGTCCAACTCAGGCGATTCCAGGCTGTGCGTGACTCAATGATTGGGCCCAGCCAAGCCGGATTTCGTGCTGGACGTGGATGCGCAGACCAGATATTCACCCTGAGACGCATGCTCGAATTTCGCCGTGGCTACCAACAGCCGACGGCCGTCTGCTTCATTGACTTTGCCGTCACGTTCGATTCCGTCCATCGTGAATCCCTGTGGCGTGTAATGGCGCTAGATGATGTACCGGCAAAAATAATCTCCATGATCAAGGCCTATTATCGCTCCACTACTGCGAGAGTCCTGGTCTGCAACAATCTCACCCAACCGTTTGGTATTCCGTCTAACGCTCGAGAGGGTTGTATCCTGTCGCCCACTCTGTTCAACTTCGCCATTGACTGGATTCTCGGGAGGGCCCTACACGAAGGTCACGGTGTTGAGTTTGCACACGGACACCGACTGACTGATCTCGACTATGCCGATAATATCGCCTTACTTGCTTCAAGTTTTGGTGATTTGTAGTCTCTGGTGCCACGAGTGAACGAGGTCGCTAAATCGATCGGTTTATCCATAAACGCTGGGAAGACCAAAGTATTCTGAAGCTGCATCCCTAATCAGGAGAAGGCACCCCTCGGGATTGATGGCTGTCAACTTGAAGAAGTAGACAGCTTTAAATACCTCGGGGCGAGACTGCGGCCTAATGGGCAGAGTAAGGATGACATTGTCTCCCGAATTGATGCCGCCCGCTGGGTTTTCTCAAGCCTTCGGAAACGTCTATGGATCCGACGCGACCTCTCCATCGCCACTAAGATTCGCGTGTACCGTGCATCTGTCCGGTCTGTCCTTCTCTACGGCTGTGAATGCTGGGCGTTGCGCGTGGAGGACGAGCGAAAACTGGAGGTATTTGACCATCACTGCTTAAGGACCATCCTTCGAGTGACGCACACCAACTTCGTCTCAAATGAGGCAGTCCGTGCTCGCTGCGACAACGTCGTAAGGATAACTGAGGCCATCCAAGAAAGACGACTGATATGGTTTGGGCATGTTCTTCGTCGTCCACCTCAGGAGCTCAATGTTACTGCCCTCGATCCGGCACCGTTGCCCCATTGGAGGCGTTGAAGAGGGGGTCAGTTCAAAACCTGGCTCGACACTGTCCGTCAAGCGATAAAGGTGGTTCTTGGACCTTGGGTATTCGGTCTCCGTCGTTGGTGAAGAGAATGGGTTGAACTGTCCAGATCCGCCGCCACAGATCGACACGCGCGGCGAGGTGCAGTTCGGGACATCATCGAGGCTAGTTAGACCAGACATGATCGCAGCCGTATCAAATCAAAAAAATCAACACCAAAGTATGGCTGCGGACACAGTAGCATGGATTGTAAAAGCATCGGCGGACATTTCATACGTGTGGTTTCTTGGGTATTTTGAGCACAAACGCTTCCCCAACAGTTGCCCGGACTGTTTGCTTGAAGTTGTCTCCTCTATCGGTCTGACTCAGGTAATAACTACGAGACCACAAAGACGAGCGAACATAGTAACTTACTGTTCATGGTTGCCATGCCAAAGTGCCGTCGTCTGGATTGGCGTTCTTTTGGAAGGTAGTTAGCGTGCCATTCTTCATTCCCTCGTGTACTTGTGGCGCTGCCGCCAGTTTTTATTTACAAGACAACGTAGTTTGCGTATACGTGTGCCTACTGGGCACAGCAAAGTAACGTAGTGCTTATTGCCTTCTCTCGCGTCGCCCACTACTGTCTCCTGGAGATCTCAGTCGATCGCCCATGGAATGGGTATTTTGGTTTTATACCCCTCTAGACATCCTTGGAAGGAAAATAAATAAACCACTTTTCCACAGCCTAGTTATGCTCCTTTTAATAAGTTTCGTTCCACTAGACATACTTCCTTCACACATAGCGCTTTCTCCGACCCTTTGACTGCTAATTACCTATTAATGTTCTTTTCCGCGCCTTCATCAATTATACTAATCCATGTACACACACCTGACATTCTAATGCTTTCTCTTAAATTCCCCCCACAGTTCCAGCCAAACCTCCCGTAATTCGGCTTACACCGAGGGACACAGGAACCCAACTTTAATTCGTGGATATTTGTCGACCTTCCGGCACTCCGCTCGTGGATCTTCACCGGTATTTTCCCATATCTTCTGTGCGATCGGCCGTCCAACTCTCGTATGTCTCATTCTTCCTGTTCTTATCGCTCATGAATAACTCTCTATAAACTCAACACAGCACTCGCCCCCGACTCATGTCTTTTGCCCTATGGCGATACTATCCTTACCTTATCACATATCAGTTAGGCCTTTAGCGGGATTTTGAGTAGTACTTGTTTGAGGTATACTTACGATTGTCTTTGATAAATCTGAACTACTCTCGGAGAACCCATTTTTTGTTATCTCTCACCGTGTACCACCGTCTTCTGGTTGCATTGAAAAGTGGTCTCTTGACACGTTCCCAGGCTATTTGCTGGTGGACTCAAGAAATTGATATGGTGTACAGACCTCGTGATCTCATCTTTCAGCTGACAACTGCGTACCTCCGTTTGTTCTGTCTCAATGTTCGAGACCCAAAGGACCCATATAAATCTAACGAGAGGGTATTTGGGAAGAGTAGCGGAAACTTTTTCGACTTACTTGTCGTCGTCACCAAATAGGACTGCTCGCGCCAGACCTCGACCCTCCGTAGTGTGGGTCTGCGACTGTTTGTCCGCGGCTGCTTCTTTGTCAGACCAGAGAGCCTGCCTATTTCGCCACTAACTTTCGCTGCAGGCCGTAGCAGGCTGGCAGCTAGGTTAACGGGTAATCCCGTATTCCTGTCGTCAGATCTGTTTTCTGAAATTTCGGGATCTTTCTACATTTGAAGGGTTTTATGGCTCGGATTTTTGAATCATGAAGAGCGTTCTCATCTGTTACCTAGCTTTCGAACATCATGCCACGAAGATAGAGTATATGCTCAAATAGTTTTTTTTACGGATAGTGATCATGTTGTAGATGACACTACAGGAGTATGGAGGGAAATCGTATTTGGTAGTTAGTCTGTGCCCCCCAAACGGGCCACGTGGTGGAGGCGCTGGACCAACACGGGTGCCATATCGGATTGTGGCAAGCGTTATCGAATTTGCGCACCATAACAAATGCCTACATTTTGGGGGGTGCAGTGGCAGACTCCGTTGCCGGCTGACGTCGCGCACACTGGGACCCCTGCCGTCCTTCCACTTTTGTTGTTGGCTGAAATCCCGGTCATTTACTGTATGTGGACCAGAGGGTGTGGATCTGGGCGCCAAAGTACGAGATCGACCGTGCCATCCACCTGTGCCCTCCCCCGCATTCGGTCTTCTTGGCACCGGGTCCAGGTGGGGGAGGAGGGAGTGCGGTAGATGCTATGCAAGACTACGGTCACTATGCATTAATTCATAGTACACAAATCACCGTTCCTGGTTCGCCTTGCTGTGGAGCACATCGTCTGAAACGACGGTCGAACTGTCATGCTGAAATAGGTACCCTTCGTGGAACTTATTGGAAGGCCACCTGTATTACGGAGTAGGGAGTATCTATTCCCGCGTCTTACCGTCAGGCCTTGCAAGCCTTGCACCCAATCTCCGCATCAGGTGACTGTCCACTTCCAATAGTGGACTGGTGCCTGACATGCAAATTAGAAGCTTTTGTGAATGCGCCGCTGTACTTTGAGTGGTTGAGAAATAGTTGCCCTAACCCCTAAACCTTACCCCTAACCCAGGATGTAGCCGTCCTTGAACTTATCGGAAGGCCACCTGTATCACAGGTAAGGGGGTATCTTTTCCCCTGTCTGGTAAGATGTGGCTATGTAGCCGCAGCTGATGGACACCATACTGTTGACCTACTTAGTTATTTTGAGTTGGTGTGATTATGTTGGCATGGTACTGCTGTGCGTTGCGGTGTGTGTTCTGTTGGCGGCCTTGTTTCTTTGTTGCCGTGTCTACCTTTTTTGGCCCAATGCCGGTGGTCCTTCTTGACTTTCAGCCTGTCGTCTCATTCTAAATTCCGCTTTGGATGTTTCAGGATTAGGGTTAGGATTTTGGCTAGAGATAGGGATTAAGGAGTTAGAGTTAGGGGTTAGGGCAACTATTTCTCAACTACCCAAAGTGCAACCGCGCATTCCCAATAACGATTCTTTTGCATACGACTGTTTGGCCTCATCGCCTATGCGTTCCCCCGGCCCCATCTGTAAACTACCCTATTACCGCCAGTCCCGTATTACAGGTGGTTGAGGTTTGTTTACTTCAGGTGGGGCTACATAACCACATCTGATCCCGTGCCTTACTCTCATTTCCTGCAAGTATGACTCACATTTGCAAAGATCAGGTAAACCCGTTTGCAAGAAAGTAAAAAAAGCAATCATAAGCCTGGGAGGCGTTCAGGCAAGCCATTTAAAAGTGCATAAAAATCATAATGGCGTCCGAATTTGGTGGTGTGTAAAAGGCTTGAAGCACTGGCACTACTTAAGCACTGATCAACTACATTTATGAAAGTTTAGTCTACCGAGACTGTTATCGGATCCAGCCAATCACGGTCATCTTGACAGGTAAATCAACTCCGAGACTGAATTGGTCATGCTCTTACAAAAAAGACACTCAAACGCCTGCCACGGTGAGCGCCGGGTTGTCGTATCCCGTCCGAATTCCAACAGCCCCCAAAACTTATTCTTCCTCCAGGCTCCTTCCGCTGGCGTGTGTCCCCTACACAGGACTGGTCTGTGGGTTATAGATTTTGTAGAGAATTTTAAAATCCGTGCAAAAATATGCTTCCTTGTCCTCTATCACACTCCAGAGTCTTGCACAAATCGGTTGAGTAAATGCTTTGGCGCTCGCATGTGAGATCTGGGACACCAAACTCTTACATGTTGTGCGCTTGTCGTGTGAGGCACCCGATGACGGACTGTCTAGCTCTGTCGGCCACTTGCACCCATCGGATGACTGACCGGCTCGGGCAGTTAACTGGTGCCGGGCACGCTTTTATACTATGACGGTATGTTACAAATCGTGGCGTGGAAGACTGCCAACTGCAGAGAGATGACTCGGCCCTCCGAGGACAAAATTGGGGCCTCAATGACTTCCTAAAAATGCGGCCTTTATGACATTCGCACTCGTTTGGTATTTAAGTTTACCACTCCGTGATTCTCCGAAGACATGATGCATCGCGTGCGTGGCACACGCAGACGGGCCGTCTAGTTTTGTCAGCCGATTCCGACTTCGGTCTTCTTGCCTCATTCTTCACACAGGGCCCAGGAGAGCAAGGAAGGAGAGCGTGGTAGTTTCCGCGAATTTCTACTGTCATAATAATCACGCGTAAGTCACGTCTCTCCACCCCCATGTTGTGGGGGGCATACGGTGGACATCTTCGATCGAACCGCTATGTAGCGCGCAGTCATCCGCGATGTTTTGGTCCCGGATAATCCCATTACAAGTTCTGGTATTTATCTGAATGCGTCTGATTCTGGTTCCGATTAACTCCTCAGGGTAGGCGTCCATCAGCATGCCGAGGATTGGAGAACGCAGAGGGTGTGTGTGTGTGTGTGTGTGCGGGTAACCAACCCCGTTATTTCAGACGCTCAGGAGACCGTTTGCGATTTGGGCTGACATGTCCCTAACCAGCTGCTCAAGTATCTGCGTAAATCGTTCCAAAGCTTCGTCATCGCTTTCTCGCTCGTTTCATTGTCTCAGTGGTATTCGTCAGATCCATGATGATAAAAGCATACCACAGGCCTACCGTAATCAGCGAGCCAGGAATCACACCCTAATTCACGCGCAAGTCACCGCGCCTGCGCTCACCTTGATGTGAAGCACACGGTGCACATCGTCGGTAACGACGGTCTAACTGTCGGCAGTTAATGTCTAAAAGGTTTGAACCTCACCCATGCTGACATCAAGATAGATCGGTAAAGGCGATAAAACTGTGGAGTAATCGTTCCTTACCTTATTGCCTTATTGCACTCCAACATGACGCCGCGACGGTGGCGTCAGTCAGCGCTCTGGTTACTGTGATCGATGGTATTCGCATTGCCATCGTGGAAACTATACGCCTTTTCATCTTCTCCTAATATCTTGTTGTCAAATTTACGAAATAATAATAATCTCTTTTTTTCGCTGTTTGTGTCGACAATTAAATTAGCGAACGGAGACGTGGTGGAAAACTTAGAGCTATTTATTAGTTACGAGCTCACCTATTTTTCCATCTGTGTACCGCTTTTAGTCCTCACTAAGGTTGCAGCCTCCAAGAGCTCTTGTTCTTTTAAAAGTTTTTGTCGCGTCTCCAATTGTCAGCCCTGCTCAACAGGTCAATGTTTGCGGCTTTGAGGCTGCATGCAACTGACTTCCTACGCTTGGCAGAAAACTACTCGGTTGCGCGGACGGTTATCATGCGACGATTATGTGACCGATCATCGAAGCAGTTCAGAACACGTCTAATACTGTATCGCTTGTAGGCAGTGCTTCTTGGTTGCAGACGCATCCGAACAGCTGACTTCACAGTCTGATCGACAGCATCGCACGTCCGGCTAGTCATGAGAACCCGTGCTGAATTTGCTTTATACTCGCGGACACCCAACCATAGGATCCTTGTCCTAGCTCCCACAAACCAACAGACCACCCAGGTTCAACCTTCCCAGGCACGACCTAACGCTGCCCTCAGCTCATTATCGACTACTGGCACGCGAGACAGCAGCCCAGAGTTCTGTACAGAATAAATACCGCCTTTCTATTGATGTCCGCGATTTGACCCCAATTGTGGTAGTTTAGATGGGCGCGTGTTTTAGTAGCTATGACCTCAGTATCGGTTGTGGCGAGTCAGCGATCCCCATAATCATAAAATCGAAGACTGACCTCCTTTTCATGCCAGTGAGAGCAATTGCCGCGCCAGCATAGACACTTTCATGCTGATGCTAATTAAATTTACCATTAGCTGAATGCTTTTATGTCAGTATCCATTACCACCGAAGAATTGTCGATTTAATGCATGTAAAGGTGAGGAATCCAGGACCTTAAATTTCACACATTTAGCTTAGGATAACATCAACTGAAAGCAGACAGCTCGATTAAGTTTGCCGAATTTGCACCATGTCATAAAAACTGCGGATTTTTCCAATCACATTGTTTGTGGATTTAAGTTCTGTATAGACTGGCACTGTTGTGTGACTTAATCTATGAGTGAAATTTATCGATCGAGCAGATTCTATTTAAAATAATACGATAAAGCACACAGTACATTTTATGTTCTTCAAATGAAACTGATCAGTCAGGTTCTGATCCAGCAGCTTTTTTAATTTGTAAATTTATCGGAATTTGCCCTCATCTAGGTGGCCTGATCCACACCAGTTATGAATTTGGCCTCTACTCACAAACAGTTTAAACTTTTTTCTAAAGGCCCAGGATAGTGTCCAGGAAATGCTTCCAATACAATCACTCAAGTTAACCTTGCTGTAGTATATGTCAACTTCTCTCAATGGGTGTATTGACAGGTACTGGAAATCCTCCCAACAATATGAAATCTGGACGAAAATCTGTACAAACACCTAAACAGGAAAAACTGGCCGCCCGGCCCTACCAGGTGGAA